GAAACGCAGCATATTCTCTACTAAGTTTCCCCCAATGTCAGCAGCTTGCAAAAGTATACTTCAGGATCAAAGCCAGACACGACAATTGCTAGAAAGCTAGACAATTGATAGACAAGATAGAAAACATTTTCATCGCCATTAGGCTCTGTGTTGGAGCCCTTACATAGGACACTCTCTCCCCTCCTACTCCGACCCGCTTAACCTCTGGGAAGCACACATCTGTTTTCTATTTCCATAATTTTGTCATTTTGATAATATTACATAAGTGGGAACTACACTGTCTTGAACTTTGAGGGATTAGCCTTTTTTTTTTTTTCCACTTAGCATAATTCTCCGAAGATTCATTCAGTTTATGTATTTATCAATGCTTGATTCTTTTCATTGCTGGTAGTATTCCATCCTGCAGATACAGAACGTTTAGTTTAACCATTGATTTGTTGAAGGGCAAGTGGATAGTTCCCAGGTTTGGTCTATTACAAATAAAACTGCAATGAACATTTATACATATGCTTTTGCATAAACTTGTTTTATTTCTCCAGATAAATGCCCAGGAGGATAATTTGTAGTCATACGATACTTGCATGTTTAATTTTTCATGAAACTGTCAAACAATTTATCCAGAGGAGCTATACTATTTACATTCCCACCAGCAAGGTATGAGGGATCCAGTTTTTTTACACTCTCGTAAGTATTTGGTGATATTAGTTTCATAATAACTTTTATCAATAATTTCTGCCATGGTATTTATCATTGGTTTCTGGCTAACTTTCCAAACGTAGCCTGTCCTCAGATCCCTTCTTTATTCAAACACTATTTGCTACATTCACAGGAAAAAAACCTTCTATGCCCAGTAGACTGCCATATTATAATTCAGAGATTGGTGACACAGAAGTCTACCCCAGTCTTCTACGTTTGGTACATTCAATCAGGGCATGAAGAGTTCCCCTCCTCAAATACGCAAAACTCAGCCAACTGAGAGAACAAAGAATAGCTTAATAATATAAGTGACAGAAGAAAACCAAAGGATCAACTCAATGAGACAAAACTTAGGAACAAATCATTCCATTCAATAAACACAGACCCACACTTCCTTCCTTCTAGATCAGGGTTATGTTCTGAGGACTCAGACATAACTAAATAGAAGTTCCTCTCCATTAGACTTTAGTCTAGAAAGGAGATTTTAAAATAGGTACAAAAATAAGTATGTCTATATCCGTGCTATGAATATGTCTGCTGGTTTAAAATAATATCTGCCCCAGGCCGGTTGGGCTCAGAGGTTAGAGTGTCAGCCTGCGGTCCAGAGAGACCTGGGTTCACTTCCTGCTAAGGGCGTTTACCTCGGTTGCAGTTTGTCCCCGACCCATGTTGGTCTTGCGAGTAGCAGCCCCTCGATGTGTCCCTTTCACTTTGATGTTTCCCTGTCTCTCTCCCTCTCTCTTCTTCCAACTCTGTCTGAAAAAACAATAGAAAAATGACCTCAAGTGAGGATAAAAAAAATTTAAAAAATGAAAAATAAATAAATAAAATAATATCTGACGATTTTCAATTAGCACTGAAAAACTATCAAAGACTTAGAAACTGGGGGGTGATGGTTATACTTCAAGAAACCATTCTCTGCCCTGTGGGGAATAAACTGCAAGGGGCTAGGTTTGGGACTACCGAGGTCACTGGGAGAGTAACACAGTAGTCTGGTAGAAATAACAAGGTTTAGGGAAGAGATGTAGTAGCAGTAGTGATAAAGAATAATGTAAAAACAAGGTTATAATAAACTGCACTTTGTTATGAATTACACAGTAAGTCCGAGAAGAGGAAGTACTTAGAACAATTCCCGAGGTCCTTCCCCGGCAGCCAGGGCAATAGTACACACTGAGACAGGACATTAGAGCCCAGGAGGATGTTTGGAGAAAGAGAACGAGTGCAGGGGAAGGACCGCTGAGTTGAACATACAAAGGACATCTGATGGAGGTGTCTCATGGTGACCGAGTCTCTGCTCCTCACAGAGGAGATCATAGACGTTAGCTACAGATTTCAGAGACTCTAACATGGAGATTATATTGTCAGCCATGGGAAAGCATGAGATTCCCAATGAAGACTATACATAAGGTGAAAAGAGAGGAATCAAAGTTAGAAACTTCAGAGGCATCACCATTCAGAGAAAGTCAGGATATAAGGGCCATTTAAAGAAAAAGAAAAATAACAATCAATTAGTAAGAAGAAAACTAGAAATAGAAGAGAAGATCATCCAAAGAGAGCAGAAAATGTCAGGTATGTATCTCAGGGGGCAATGACTTTGAAGTAACCAAGGAATGTGGTAAATTATGTGATGTAAACCCATATTTTGGACCCTTCCTTTCTGTCTGAGAACTATATATCGCCTTCCTAAATAAGTCAGGCATGGCCATGTGACTTGCTCTGGCCAATGATAGAGGACTGGACCTGATATTTATCACTTCCAAGAGGCAGCTTTAAAAGTCAGCCCGTGGCTCACTAAGCTCTCTTTTACCACATCTCATGGTGATCAGAAAAGCTCAAGACAAGGACTGTTTCATCGCTTCCAGGTCACAGAATTCAGGTTACGTGGGGAGGGCTGCAACCACCCCGAGATGGCCACAGAGAGTGAGAGCAAATCAAAACGCTGTACGTGAATTAAGTCCCTGGGACATGAGGCTACTTATTACTACAGCTGGGCAACCTCATGTATTCTTACTGACTCTCATCAAATGAAGAAGGAAAAGAAGATGCTTCACAAAGTGCAACAGTTTTAGTTGTAAAAGAACATAAGATCAAGAAACGACAGCAAATCAATACAACCCTCAAACAGGGAATGGCAGTTAACGTGATCTTGGTCAGGAACCAACCTGGAAATGGAAACTACTCTAATGCTTACAGAGCACAGAGAACATCACAGAGTGGTCACCGCCCAGCTGCAGGGGATACGTTCTAAAGCCCCCAGTGGGTGCCTGAAACCACAGATTGTACCAAACCATCTATGTGCTGTGTTTTATCCTAAACATACAAACCAATGATAAAATTTAATTTATACGTTAGGCTAACTAACAATAAAATAAAACAATTACAACAATATACTTTATAAAAAAAGTTATATAGCCTGGCTTGTAAGGCACAGTAGTTGAGCGTCAACTCATGCACCAAGAAATTGCTGGTTCAGTTCCTGGACAGGGCACATGCCCAGGTTGTGGGCCTGATCCCCAGTGGGGGGCATGCAGGAGGGGGCCAGTCGATGTTCTCTCTCATGGATGTTTCTATCCCTTTCTCTCTTCCTTCCTCTCTGTCTAAAATCAATTAAGAAAGAACATTTTTTGAATAAATAAAAAGAAAAGTTATATTAATGTCTTTGGGGCCATTGTTTAGTAAAATCAGGGAGACTTGAACACAGGTACTGGGATATTATGACAGCCAATCTGGTAACTGGATGCTTGGTGACAAACAGGTGAGGCCGGCACACAGTATGGAGACACTAATAACAGGATGAGTCACATCCTGGACTGGCCAGAGTGAGACTGAGTGACTGCAGAAGCCTTCATCTCACTACTCAGAATAGTGTGCAATTTGAAATATGAATTCTTTATTTCTGGGATATTTCCTTTAATATTTTGGACCATAGTTGACTGTGGGTAACTGAAACCACACACAAAAAACTGTAACTATGGGGGGACTATTGGACACAAGATTGATCCCATAGATGACAGAAGACCAAAAAATCAAATAGGTGATGGTGAATACACACTGGTAACAGAAGGAAGTCACCACCAACTTCAACTGGAGAGATGAAGAAAAGATGTAGTATAACCAGAGCCAGGGGCTAGAGCCACCTGACAAAAGCTAGAGCCCATGCAGGCCTATCCGGCAGGACCTGGTGGCTCACACCTGGTGCAGGCACTTCCGGAGACTTCTTTCAAACAGAGAGGGAGAGGAGGCCACACTCTGTCATTGCCTCTTCCTACCACCTGTGTCCTGTCTGGGACTCCCAGGGGCAGAGCAGGGCCAAGAGTCAGCTGATCGGGAAACCTGAGAAGATCCACCAGCAGGGGCAGCTGCTCGCCCTCTGTCTTCCCCTCACAGAGCAGAGGGAGAGCATGGGGAATGGGTTCGGGACAAACAGCCCCACGGCGGCATTAGAGCAGGTCTGAAGGCAGACTGTGGCAGACATTCTGGGTGGGGGTAAAACCTGATTTTTGAAAAAGCATGGAAGTGTTATAGGCAAGGAGAGTTAGCTATCGTTTAGCATGGCTGGGGCTAGAGCCCATGTGAAGAAAGGGATATTGATTAGACAAGACAAGAAAGCAAAGGCCCGACCATGAAGGGCACGCATGCCACCCTAAGGAGCTTGAAATCTATTTTATAGGTAGTCGTACATAACCAAAATTACGCCTTGAAAAGAAAATTCTTGCATTGTCGTGGACAGCCACGTGGTGTGGTGTGGAGGAAAGGAGAGGTTGGAGCCCATTTGCCAAAGGCAGATGTGGCAAAGGCCTAACTTGGTGGCAGGTTCAGGGAAGCTACGGAGCGGCCCGGCTCTAACTACAGACTTAACAGACTGCATTCTCCTGGCCTAGACTCCAACCCAGCGAGGTCTGCGAGGCGCTCGACTTGTCAGCCAATGCTTTGACAATTCCTTTCCATTTCATGTTTTAAATTGTTTTTAATATAGGGGATGGGAGCATGAGGGGTCTGGAAACACTGTCAGGGAAAGGACTGTTACAGAAGATGGAGATGTTTACCTTAGAGACAAGGAATTGTGATTTCTTGAACAGGTAACCGGTTCTCCACAGCTAGAGGTTATGACCCACCAGAAAGACTATCTAGTGAACGCCCTCAGAATAGAAGTCCCAAAGTAAAAACAAGACACACTGAAATCTATTCAATGCTTTATTTATTCTTCTCAGGAGTCACTACATTTTAGGATGGAACACGTCTCAGAATGGGAGGAGGAGACCACCCTCCTCCTTCCCCTCTTGCTGTGTCCTCCGTCATGCCCATCATGAAAGGGCCCCCTGAAAGGCAAAGGACCATAATAGAAAATAAGATCAGGTTACATGTAATTAGCATGCTTCCAAATATAGTCCCTCTCTTATTTAGCCACCCTTTTACTGATGGGGAAACAAAGGCTCAGAGTGGGTAAACTGGGTCTGGAATCTGAGAGGTGGGATATGTCAAAGTCACAACTGGAACACAAGTCCCTCCTGACTGGGTAGCTCTGATGCTTAGAGCACCATCCTGATAGGCCAAGACTGCAGCTTCGATCCCCAGTCAGGGCACATGCAAAAGTCAACCAATGAATGCCTAAATAGGTGGAACAACAAATCAATGTTTCTCTCTCTCTCCCCTCCCTTCCTCTCTTTCTCTCAAATCAGTAAATACTTTTTTTTTTAACTCTTAAAAAAAACCCCGCAAGTCGCTCTTATTCAAATGGTCCTATTAGAAATGTAGATTTTGCAATTTCCTTAAGATTACTGAACATGCAAACTTTATATGAGCCATCGGTAAGGGGGTAATGCATGTGCCCATGCAAGAATGGGGTGCAGTGGAGTGCAGTGGGAGGCATGGGCACTCAGGGAAGCTCAGCCTGGCCCTTTCACAATCCACCCCACAAGCTATAGTTACCAGCAGTGTCTTCACGGCCTCAGAGGCCTCTGGGCCAAGCTCATTCACACACATCCCTAGCCCTGTCACAAGGTGCTCAACAGAAATGCCCAGACCGTCCAGAAGAGGCTTCAATGGACTCAGGAGGGAGAGAGCATCTGCAGAAACAGGTAAGACTCAATGTTAGAAGTGTCACACTGTTGATGAGGCGGTATCTGTGGAGCAAAAGAGAAACCACTTGAGACATGAACATCTGGTCCTGTCTGTGACCTCACCGCCTTCCACTCTGTCCATCAGTGGCTCCATTCCAGCCATGCTCATCTTGACTGACAGGATCTTCTGCCTCAGGGCCTTCGTACCTGCTCTCCCAGCTCTTTAGAACTGTCTTTCCCCAGATACCTACCTGTCTTTCTTCCTCACATTATTTGGTCTCTTCTCACAGGGTACATTCCGAGAGAGGCATGGGAAATGGCACTCCGGTCAACTTCTACTTTATATTTTCCAACCACTACCTAGAGTAGCACATTTTTTTGTTTTTGCCTTCATCCACTCACTAGTAAGCAGGCTCCCTGAGAAAAGGAACTTCTGTTTTCCTCACTGCTGCACCCCATGCCTAGCGCACCCTACTGCACCTTTGCGCATAGCAAGCACTCAAGAGATGTAGTGATTTACTGAGTAGGCATGTACTTGGCATGTGGCTGTCTCCACAGCCCACGCCTATGAAACGAAGTGGAAATGCCATTAGCAGTCTCCACTTGGGGACAGAAATGAACCCAAGCACAGCCTAGGAGACTGTTCTAAAAATAATCAAACACTGACTCGGTACCAATGGGTGTAGCTACATAGATTAATAAGAAGAATACTCCATTCAGAGAACTCAAACTGTCTGATGGACAGTAAAGATCTGTGTGCACCACGGCACTTGCTGTGCTAACATTATGAACAAAGCTCTATGGAAACACAAAGAAGGGATGACTAATGTGGGACAGTGTTATAGGATCTTCCCAGAAACTGAAGTTGGGTCTTGACGTAAATGCCAGGGTCACAAGGTAAAGAAGGGAACAGTGTTTTAAAGAGAACAAAATTAACAAAGGCACTGAGATTTTCAAAGGAAAGTGCCCCTACAGGATGGTGTGTTTCTGCCCAGAATCATTGGCGGGTAGAATTCACTGGGGTGTGCAAGGAGGGATAAGGGAGGTGAGGCTGCAAAATTCAAGTCAGATGAGGGTTTTCAAAGCCTTGACTGACATATTCATGAGTTTGAAGGTGTTTTTCCTGAGAGCAATGAAAAGCCATCAAGGCATTTATATGAGACATTTATATGCATCAAGGCATTTATATGCATTTTATATCCTCAATTTTAGAAAGGTAACTTTCACAAAAAATGAATCAGCAGAAAAGTATAGAGAATGAGCCTGGCCAGTGTGATAGAGCATCGACCCACACACCAAGAGTTCCCTAGTTCAATTCCCAGTCAGGGCACATGCCCAGGTTGTGGGCCTGATTCCGAGGGGCATGCAGGAGAAAGCCAGTCAGTGTTCTCTCTCATTGATGTTTTTGTCTCTCTCTCCCTCACCCTTCCTCTCTTTAAAATCAATACAGGAAAAATATTTTAAAAAATTATAAAGAATGAAAAAATATGTATATTTTTATAAGCTGTGTGCAGAGTATGTGCAGATATATAAACATACATGTGCATGATCATACACATAAGGATGTATATCCTCCTGCTGGCTAAGACCTTGCTATAGTTCATTTTCCTTTGGAATCCATTACATTTCCCCCAAATCATAAAAATTGAGTCTGTTCACCTGTCTCACGTTCATCTTCTACCATCTATTTTTCCTCCAGAATTCTCTTCCAGAGGAATGGTATTTATTTCCTTTCACCCATCATTCAATAGTCAGTCTGCCAAGAAATGTTTGTCTCTTGAGACTACAGAATAACAAAATAGCTGAAACTAATGAAGTTACACATTTGTCAAAAATTCTATATTAATTGTCGGGCCGGATTGCCTCAGTGGTTGAGTTCACCCCATACACCAAGAGGTCACCAGTTCTATTACCCGTCAGGAGACATGCCCGGATTTTGGGCCCGATCCCCAGTGGGGAACATGCAGGAGGCAGCCAATCAACATTCTCTCTCATCAATAAAGGAACGAGAAATCCATATAATCGAAGCACAAGATAAAGTTGCCAAAGTAGTTGTGGGTGGCACCTAGCTTCTCATGATTAATATCCTTAGCCTTTTTTTTTTTTTTTTAGAGAGAGAGGATGGAAGAAGAAGAGAGAGTTAGAAATATCAATGAGATAGAACATCAACTGGCCACCTCCTGCACACCCCACACTGGGGATCGAGCCCACAGCCCAGGCACGGGCCCTGAACGGGAATTGAACCATCAACCTCTTGGTGCATAGGTCTACATTCAACCGCTGAGCCACACCGTATAGCCTCCTTACTTCTTATAGTAAACACTGTGGTGTCTTCTCTGTATGTACGTATAAACTTCTGGGGAAGGCTTCGCAAAACTGTTTTCTGAATGAGCAGTGACCATCACTATGCACGTTGTAGATAGACCCAAATATACCTTTATGAGAGGTAAAAGACTTACTCCGAAAAGAATGTGTCAGTTCCTATTCCTCCATGAAGTCGGCTTCTGTACCGCCACCTGAACATTGACCAATCCGCCTTCAGCTGTCCCACAGAGCTCTAGCTGAATATAGTACACTGACTTCTGCAGACTTCGCACCTCCCCTGCCACACGATGGGTACCCCAAGAACCACAGTTCTGTCTCATTCATGTCTGACCCATCCAATTCTCACCCAATGCCCAACAGGATGTATCCCTTCAATAATTGTCCACTGAGCGTGTGAAGAGATAAATGTAGCTATGTCTCAGGAGAACCAACCTGCAACCTGACTGATTAGAGATTACACTTAGAATGAGTGCACATAGCTTCAAAAGCATCAAGGGAAGAAGCTGCAGAGTCAGGTTTTGGCTAAAGATTGAGGATAAGGAAAACTATGGTGATCAATGTTTGACAATGAAATCTTTGTTGAGACCTTCGATAGAAGCTGGCTGACTTCACATGTCGGATAAACTATGGATATTGGGCCCTGCCGGTTTGTCTCAGTGGTTACAGTTTTGGCCCGAGGACCAATAAGTCGCGGGTTCGATTTTGGGCGAGGGCGTGTACCTCAGTTGTGGTTTATTCCCTACCCTGGTAGGGGTCGTGCACTAGGCAACCAGTTGATGTGTCTCTCTCACCTCAATGTTTCTTTCTCTCTCTCAATCTCTCTCTCTCTCTTTATCTCTTCCTTCATCCCACTCTACGTGAAGAAAAATATCCTCCAGGGAGGATTAAAAAAATAAAAATGACTATGGGTATTGGGTTAGGGCTTGGACAAGGGAGTGGGCGTCAGTGGGGTACATCTGAAATCCCTTCCAACCTTCCATTCTGTGGTTCTACAGCTCCCTCCGCATGTGCCCTGGAAGCCGCGTCTTACCTGTTGTGTCCCTACCAACAGAAAAGAAGAGCAATACCACACGTTCCAGGATACTTACTGGAGTAACTGCAAAGGCCAATGGCCACCAGCAGGAATACAGTGACCAGCTTCATGACAGGTGATCTGTGATATTTGCCTGGAGTTTAAAAGCGAATCCACTGAGCCAGGGGTTCCACTTGCTGCACCAAGCACTTTTGCACACACATATTTATACACCTACCCAGGGCCTGACTCTGTCACCAGCCCCTGATTCGCCACAGCAGAGAAAAGCGTGAAGGTCATGCTTGTCACTAATTGAGAAGAAGGTTTTTCCGCTGTCCCTCACGTTCCTATGGGAAACAAAGCCCTGATTTAGAACATTCGCAAACCTCTTGCACAAGCTTTTGAGAAAACAGAACAGAGACGCCAGGAGGAGGCCATGAGCTCCACAAATTCTCCTCCTGGAAGAATATTGTAAAAGAAGGGGAGGTTTGACTTTGGGATCAAATGGAGTGCAAATTCTATTGAATTCTTTGAGCTTCTTATGACTTAGGCTTTGAGAATCCCATTACCCAGTGAGCTCCCCCGTTGAGGAAGGCGTCTGGAGGTCCCATCGCCCCTGATATGAAGACTCAAAGCCATGGCCTGTAGTGCAGTATTCCCCTAGAACCCCCCACCCCCACTCTCACATCTGCTATGGCGAGAACTTCTCCCTTTTCTAGTGCCTGCCAGGTGTTCTGGGAAGCCCCAGGGAACGCCTTCCCTGTGCCCTCCTGAAGAATAATAGGCTCAGGATCTAAAATCAAAATGCCTTTTTAAAAGCCTGGGATTAAATATGTACTCTTTGTGTAAACTTGGATTAGACATTAGTTTGTTTTCTTAATGTAGTACTGGTCTCCTCGTCTAAAATGAACACATTTACAGGATGGTCCCAAAGATGTGACGCTAAACAATTTTTTTTTTCTTTGCAAGACTCTCTATAAACAAGTTGAGTTACCAAAATAAGTAGATTAGAACCATCTGGCAGTTCAATCCCTTGTAATTATGAACAAGGAACACTGTCCCGGCCACAGAAACAGTCTGCGGAAAGGCTGCCTCCTGGGACCCCGGAGTCCCGGGGTTCCCTATTTCTAAGCCCACGTCCTGGGGTCCCTTGGGGAACCCAATGGCTCACATGCAAGGAAGAGGGGCCAAGAAACCTTGCAGGCTCGAAACAGGGATCACGTCTCCCTGCCCAAGTGGCACTGCTGGCCCCAGCACCCTCGCCATCAAAGAGGGACTCTGAGCACCGAGGAAGAAAAGCCAGACCGTGGTCTCCTTGAGGTGCAAGGATAGGAGTTGGGGCCCAAATGCAGGGTGCGGTACTGTGATGGGGATTTAATCAAATGATGTAGACATAGAACATAACTGAACCACACCAAGGTTAACACTCAATAAATGTCTCCTGTTGCTAATTCCTGTAAGTTACTGAGTCGTCATGGCTCTTTCCTGAATTGTCTGCTACTCTGTGCACTGCATGCAGGAGATCGTGTAGTACTGCCGGGCACACTCAGTTCTGCCACTTATGTTGCCTTCTCTGCAGCAGAAGCTCCTGTTTCCCCGGTGTTACCACCCTGTCAGGGATGCTTACAGGCCAAACCGTCAGAAAGCAAGAGGGTGTGGTACAGCGGTGATGAGGATCTTCCATCCTTTATTTATATGCTACAAACTTTTTACAAATATATATGTTTTTCTTTGTTTTTTTATATATAGAGAGAGAGACAGAAACATCAATGTGAGAGAGAAACATCAATTAGTAGCTTCCTGCACACCACCTACTGGGGACCGAGCCCACAACCTGGGCATGTGCCCTGACCGCGAATCAAACTGGGACCTCTCAGACATGGGATGACGCTCAATCCACTGAGCCACTGGCCGGCCTATGCTACAAGCTTTTCATGGGACACTAACCAACACTGCCCTCAGGTGTGCTTGTCGTTTGCAAGTTTGCTTTCAAACCCTTTCCCTGCACTTCCCCTCTTCTGCTCTGCTCTCCCCAGGGAGCTGGGCCTGTCACACTGTGGCTTCCAGACTTCCTTGCCAACGGAATCTGGTTAGGACTGGACCGTGGAAGGCGCTGGCAGAGCCTGGGCAGTGACTCCATCTTCTCCAGGGCTCCCGCTCCCTCCAAAATGCCCTCTGTCTGTGCTGCCACCGAAGCAGGGTCCACCACGGTTCCAGCCTGACGGGCGGCCCCAGCTCTGGCCCCAGTTCTGGCCCCGGTTCTGGCCCCGCTTCCCACTCCGTCCCTCCTGGCCGAGCACAGTAGCCCCTTCCCGCATTTTCTATCCTCAGGAGCAACTCACCGCCCCCACTACCACCACCGCCCCTATCGCTATAACTGCATTTCCACTACCTTGTAGATTATCCTCCCAGGTAAATTCTTCCTATTTGATCACCTGGTATGGTTTTCATGTCCTGGCTGGGTTCTGACCAATAAAGGATCCTACAGTATTGTAGCACTTCGGGTAAAAACAGATCTTTCCCTTTGAAAAAAAATTAATATGTGTCTGATATGAAATTGATTTGAGAGATAGAGGAAGAGAAAGGGTGGCAGAGAGAAGGAGAGATACAAACATTGATGTGAGACAGCACACATCCACTAGTTGCTTTGCACACAACCCTGGCCAGGGCCAGTGATGAACTGCAACTGAGGTACGTGCCCTTGACTGGAATCAAACCCGCGACTCATTGGTCTGTGGGCCCACACTCTAACTGCTGAGTCAAACTGGCCAGGGCCAGGGCACAGTATTTTCGATTAAACTTATTTTGAGAAAATCATAGAGTAACATGCAGCTGTAAGAAATAACACATAGCCCTGGCTTGTTTGGTTCAGTGGTGAGAGCATCGACTCATGGACCAGAGCGTCCTGCGTTCAGTACCCTCTAAGGGCACATACCTCAGTTGCCATTGGTCCCCAGCCCTGGTTGGGGTCGTGTGGGTGAAAATCAGTAGATGTATCTCTCTCATATCGGTGTTTCTCTCTCTCTCTCTTCCGCCCTCTTTTTCTCCTTCTTGCTCTATCTGAGGATAAATGCAAAAGTGTCCTCGGGTGAGGATAAAAAAATAAATAAATAAATAAATAAATAATACAGAGAAACCCAGCATATTCTCTACTAAGATTCCCCCAGGTCAGCAGCTTGCAAAACTATACTACAACAGAATCAAAGCCAGACACACAATTGATAGACAGCTGGACAATTGATAGACAAGAACAAGATACAAAACGTTTTCATCGCCACAAGGCTCTGTCATGCAGCCCTTACATAGCACACTCTCTCCCCTCCTACTCCCACCCTGTTGACCTCTGGGACGCACACTTCTGTTTTCTATTTTTATAATTTTGTCATTTTGAGAATGTTATATAAGTGGGAACTATACAGAATTTAACTTTGAGGGATTGACTTTTTTTTTTTAATTTAACTTAATTCTCTGAAGATTCATTCAGTTTATGTGTTTATCAATGCTTGATTCTTTTTATTGTTGGTAGTAACCATCCTGCAGATATACAACATTTTGTTTAACCATTCATTTGTTGAAGGACAACTGGATTGTTCCCAGGTTTCGGCTATTACAAATATAACTGCAATGAACATTCATGCATATGTTTTTGCATAAACTTGTATCATTACTCCAGATAAATGCCCAGGAGGATAATTGGTAAGTCATTCAATAGTTGCATGTTTAATATTTCATGAAAATGTTAAACGATTTATCCAGAGTAGCTATACTATTTACATTCCCACCAGCAAGTTATGAGGGATCCAGTTTTTCTACAGTCTCATATGTATTTGGTGATGGTACTTTCCTAATAACTTTTATCAATAATTTCTGCCATGGTATTTATCATTGGTTTCTGGCTAACTTCCCAAACATAGCCTGTCCTCAGATCCCTTCTTTACTCAAACACTATGTGCCACATCGCCAGGAAAAAGAAAAACTTCTATCCCCAGTAGACTGCAATATTATAACTCAGAGATTGTTGACACAGAACTCTACCCCAGTCTTCTACGTTTGGTACATTCAATCAGGGCATGAAGAGTTTCCCTCCTCAAATATGCAAAACTCAGCCAACTGAGAGAACAAAGAATAGCTTAATAATATAAGTTATGGGAATAAACCAAAGGATCAACTCAATGAGACAAAACTTAGGAACAAATCATTCCATTCAATAAACACAGACCCGGCAATTCCTTCCTTCCGGCTCTGGGCTATGTTCTGAGGACACAGACATAACTAAATAGAAGTTCCTCTCCATTTGACTTTAGTCCAGAAAGGAGGTTTTTAAATAAGTATGAAAATAAGTATGTCTATATCTGTGCTATGAATATGTCTGCTGGTTTAAAATGATATCTGACTTTTTTTCAATTAGCAGTGAAAAACGATCTAAGAGTTAGAAACTGGGGTGTGATAGTTATACTTCAAGAAACCACTCTCTGCCCTGTGAGGAATAAACTGCAAGGGGCTAGGTTTGGGACTACCAAGGTCACTGGGGGAGTAACACAGTAGTCTGGCAAGAAATAACAAGGTTTAAGGAAGAGCTGTAGTAACAGTAGTGATAAAGAAAAATGAAAAAAAAAAAAAGTTGTTTATAAACAGCGCTGTGATACGAATTAAACAGTAATTCCAAGAAGAGGAAGTACTTAGAACAATTACCGAGTTCCTTCCCGGCAGCCAGGGCAATAGTACACACTGAGGCAGGACATTAGAGCCCAGGAGGATGTTTGGAGAAAGAGAACGAGTGAAGGGGAAGGACCGCTGAGTTGAACATACAAAGGACATCCGATAGAGGTGTCTCATAGGTGACTGAGTCTCTGCTCCTCACAGAGGAGAGCATAGACTGTAGCTACAGATTTCAGAGACTCTAACATGGAGATTATATTGTCAGCCATGGGAAAGCATGAGATTCCCAATGAAGACTATACATAAGGTGAAAAGAGAGGAATCAAGTTTAGAATCTTCAGAGGCATGAGCATTCAGAGAAAGTCAGGGTAATAACGACCATTTAAAGAAACAGAAAAGTAATAATCAATTAAAGAAGAAAACTAGAAGTGGAAGGGAAGATCATCCAAACAGAGCAGAAAATGTCAGGTAT